CAGCATAATCAGTCGTCTGGCAGCGGTGTGGGGTCACGTTGGCGGACACGTTTCTCTTGCTTGGTGACGCCCACCAGGACCCACGTTCTCAACACGTGATCCTCTTGTCAAAAAGTAACCCAAGCCTTGGTAAACAAATAAAAAACAAATAATACATTAACTGTCGCATCCTATAAATCAACGACGTAGGAGACAACTTTTACAGGTCTGTATCCTTTCTATTGCACCTCGAGGACTAATACCGCAGGAAACCGAAGGTATTCTAGCTGTCATTTACTAGTGTTATGATTTTCAGTCGCCTCCCCACATTCAAATTATTTACTCAAGAAAACAACATGCTTAATATCTTCTACCTGTTTATAAACATGGAAGGTCGTGCCTCGGCCTAAATATCAAGACACGGACCTAAAACAAAACACGCCTCATTTTCACCTTTCACAATTAGCTCAGACACCTTTAGAAACAAAAAGAAATAACCAACGACACAACATAAGAGCGACTGTGATCATTAGACAAATAATCATGATATATCTACGTACTGTACTACGATGTATACATTCAACCTTCCTCCCAAACACCAATATTCAGAGACAGGGGTAATACATTAAGCCTGATGTGTGGCAGGCTCAGCTTCCCCGATGTGTCAGGAGTGTGGTAGCTGTGCGTAGTGTCAACAGTCACCCAAGTGCCAACAACCACATTCTTGGCACCCTTCACCTCCCTCCACCTCTACTTGCCCACAATGGTACCATAATACGCGCCACCCCAAGGAAATTTCCACTTGGCTCACATCTGCCAACTGCATATTTGGTAGATGTAAACAAGACGCCTGAAAAGTCCAGGAAGTTAAGAAAACGCTCAACCATTTTAAGTTTATCATTAACAAGGCCTTTGTTCTGTATCATTCTAACATCATTGACCAGAAATCCACTCCTCGTGTTGACTTATTGCAATTATTACAATTACCTATTGGTTAGCATTGAACTAACTACACGTCAGAAAGAAGTCAATGCTGCTCATATTTCCCAGAACAATAACAACCCGACGCTTACGAGCCTAAGACATGCAAAAATCCTTTCTCGCAAAGTAACTACAGTGTTTATCTTGATCTCTGAATCTACAAATGAGGTGATATCTAGCCCAAGAAGCAATAATTCGCTCCGTTTGGCCGAGACTCTTGAGGACACCGTGTTGGGCACAGCCGCTGCCAAGATACCTACACGTGAACAACAACCACTCTCACCTGGCAAGGAGCGATCCTATTTCTACCCCCACCGGGAATACCAATATCTAACAAACAAAATTCCAGCCTTTCCATAACAGCATCGTATTAAACTTAATTAGAACTTCCTCGACAAAAGACTTCCATAACATTTATACGATGAGCCCTATAATATGTTGCGGAGCCACCAACACTCTGGCTCACTATTTACCGTGATGTACAACAGGTGTTTGCAAAATGGCCATAGAAATAGGTTTTAGCCGATGCTTTGCCCGGACTCACCCCCAGTGGTGGCGGCACACACACACACACCGCGAGAGCTGTGCCAAACCTCAAGGTCAGTCTAAGTTGGCACTAGCCAAGTACCCACCCACCATGACGTACACAGATCTTCACACGCCCACAGAACCTTCATTGTACTGGAGGAAATCAAAATCCTCAATGAATCGTCTTTCCATCCAAAATAAATTTATTTAATTGGTGCAAGATCACATGTCGAAACAACCTTGCTCCACTGCGCCAGATAAAAGTATTGAGTAAATGGAAATCAACTGAGAATATTCCCAATATCGAGGTGGAATTTTCACTTCTTTGCTCCAAATGTCAAATACAGTGAAACCTCCATATACAGTAACTGAATGCTCTCCATATATCTCGTAAGCTGTGGGGTTTCACATCTTACGGATACTCGATATAACGGACATCCATATCTACAGTTAGAGTGGAGTGGTGTCACATCTAATAGACCCTCGAAATAACGGAGTTTCCTCTCCACAGTCGCTAAATAGAGGTTTCACTCTATTAGCATACGGAAAAACTGTTTTGGTCGTTCCCCTCCATTGCATCTTCGCCATCTTCAGGCAAAGGCAGTATGACTGGTAGATCCACATGAGGGATTAAGCAAGAACGCTACAGTTATGAACGTATTCAAGAGCCATGATCTAAGTACAGGTACAATATAATACTTTCTTATTTATAAAAATCAGTAGCTTCAAGAATATACTGTACTCCCCGGTTTAACGTGCAAAGCGATAAACCATGTCAGAGGTTCGGTAAGCATATCTAAAATATAATTCAGACATTTTCACACGCGCTGGTAATGCTATAGTTTATTCTTGGTATAGAACAAAATGCAAGTACAAAATCATAATATCAACCTTGCTGCTAGTTGAGAACGTGAGGGCCAAATGCATGAACTTCCGTCGTGTACTCGACGGCAGTTCTTGCATTTGGCCCTGAATCCTAACCCTATAAATATTGGTTATATTGGTTAAAGTAATGACACTGACAATTATCCTTTGTTGCATCTAATCCTGACTACGTCTTCCACATTTAGAAGCAAGTCCCCCAACTGCGAACCCAGACCCATGTTACTGGCCCATCTGTTGTTGTTGCTGCACGCTACCCATTACAGATCAGCCAATCAATCTTCGTCTTGATTTTCTGTTGAAACTTCTTTTAAAATCCGATTAACCTGACATACACGGGAATTACAACCTAAAAAATAACTTGGTCACAGTTCCACCTGATAAAGCTGAACATATTTCGCTGTTATCTATAAAATATAAAAGAAAAATTTCCAAGCCGTATTGGAAACAGATTGTGGTCGGGCATAAATCTACACTCATCAAAATTGCATGGATTAATTACGGCGATTTCGTAGATACGCACAGTACTAGAAACGTGCCCTGTTTAGTCATGATTCTGCCGTCGCTAACTTAAGAGGCAAAAAAATTAAGGGTGATCACATGGTACGCCAAGATCAAAGAAAAACTCTAAAAATGTTACACTGGTTTTTTTTATGGTTAACCACATCAGCTGCTGTTGGACCATCAGATACCAACTTTGTACTTTTTCTTGCACTTAGCGGCACAAAGTATGTAACATCAGTCCGCCAAGTAACGGAAAACGCATCTTTTTTTATTCAGCCTCAGCACCCGTGGTGCCGTGTTTCATTTTGTGTGTATAGAATAACAGTAATACCGGTGGTTTACTTCCGGGAGATACATATTTCCTGGAGGCATGCGCAGTAAAAGGGAGTTGGGGTGCCAAACTCGACGGATAATCTTGAGGTGAATAATTAAGGTGAGGGCGAATCTTTGGGTGATCCCTAATGTTTATTCGAGTTCGGCTCCCACATTCCTGTTTACTGCAGGTGCCTCCACGCAATATGTATCTCCAGGAAGTAATCTACTAGTATTATTGCTTTACTCGACACACACACACGTTTGTTTTACTATGGTAAAGATAAACTTCTCGTCTGCGATGGCACAAAACTTGTGATTGTCCAATATCGCCGGTGTGTCAACTAAAAAAAAAAAGTTACTATAAGCCTGTTCATACCTCTATTTTTTTGCATCGATTTTGTTTGTAGTTACCTTTACACATTTAAATTAGCGTAATAAGTGTTCATTTGGTGCCGCCTTAACACTCTTGGGATACTTACTTTGCGTAAGTCAATAGATGGAAAGTGGTTTATGGACAGTATCGAGTCGCCGGGTCCATACATGTTACATCTCTTGGGTGGCGTAGTTGCCAAATCGTCACATTACAGCTACGAATTTCATCCAAGACCAGCTTCAAAAGTTTTCAATTATTAGCCAGGCAGGCTTGTCTTTAGTAACCATCGAATACATCGTCAATCAGAAAACTTCTCATTAACATTAATTCAGTACTTATTTCATTCTTCTTAAATTATTGCACAGTACTGTACAAAAGGAATGTTGTGCATCATTTATTGTTTATTGTTCTCCGTGATGAGAATTAATTAATTAGTCTAGAATCATTAGTGACATCTTATTTTGTCCAAATACATTTGTTGTGCTTTAACCACCGTTAGCGTCAGTCAATTGACAGTGTAATAGCTGAAATTGTTTGCTAGTTTCAAGGACACGAAACTTCATGCAGACTCGTGTTTGATCTACGTCAGTTCGCTCTCACACGCACAGACCATACTGGTTATGAAGTGTTGTGTGTATATTATATGTATTCCAGTTGCATGAAATTGACGTATAACCAAGTTACAATCACCGTCGGCTCTAATAACAACTATTGCACAGCTAATAAAAAAAAATAGCTTTCAGGTGTTTCCTAGTCACACAAAACTACTGTACTAGTTTTTTTTGACTGATGAAACAAAATATGAATATCTCGTAGTTATTTCACATAAAAAAATCCATGCTAAAACACTGGCTTATTCTACCAACAACACAAATACTATGAAGCGATTATGGCCAGGAACAATGAAGCAGCTTAATGAATGTACTGTATTCCGAGACTAACCAAGCATAACGTAACCTCACCCCCCCCCCCAAATAGTGTTAGGGTGTCTAATCTTTCGGTGAAGTATGCTGGGTGGAGATTATTCTTCAAAGAATATGTTTTGCCACAATCTGCAAATGCTTGTTCCTACAGACCATTCAACATGTGTAGGCAAATATTACACTGAAGCAATACAGCTGTCAAGTTTTCATTATATGACACTGACTTTACGAACAAAATAAAACACAATTTGCTGCCCAGTTACAAGGTTTACCAAGTACAGTACAGTACTTTAATTCCTTGTTGGGGCAAACTTTCTGATGAACTAGTCCATAAAAATAACAATAAAATTAACTACTCTGAATCACCGAACATGCCCACACGTCACTGCCCGGAATACACAAAGGATTGGTGGGGGAGGGGGGAGTGCTGTAACTGTGTTACAATCACAGCTAGGGAACATGTGCACTCCAATTAGTTGCGCAACCTGGCAACCTTATCAACAAATGGTACTCACCAGCCCAAGATGCCGACAATATATGCACAACAGGAGAATCAGGACAGCTGAGGTTAGAGTTGAGGACTTTCTTCATCTGGGAGTAGGAGCAGAAGTAGATAGCTCGGGAGGGAGCAACCCCAACAAGGTTAGGACCAAGACCCCGGAATAATGCCCGTGGGCCTTCAACCTCAATTATGTATCTGCGTGGGAAGAAAAGAAGATACTGTAACTGAGCAGTACTAGTATGAAAACCCATCACTACTATCATTATTATTTTTAAGCAATAAAAAAAATTATATATATATATATATATATATATATATATATATATATATATATATATATATATATTTTTTTTTTATAAACATTCTTTCTGAATTGTGAGTTTCTCCGACAGCACCCAGAAATACAGTCCTTCCACATTGAACATCCAAAAGTCACAATTAATCAAACTACACAACTTTCATTTTTATCTAAACACAAACACACCTCAAGGGAACACAAAAAAGAAAGAATATAAAACACTCTGAAGAACGTCACCAAAAGCAAATTACTTGCAAATTATGATACAGTACAGTACTGTATGGTCACAAATCCATACTAAACAGATATTTTTGGTAGTAGGCAGCTATCAAACAGGGAAGTACTACTGCCTGGGAAGATACTGTATTGAAGCACAATGTGTTGACTAATAATATTGGCAGTCCCTGCTGCTATGTGGCATCACAAAAATTGTGACACAAGTCCAGGGTCTCATTAAATTGTTTCTCTTACTTTGACAACACATATATACTGTACGTTATATCGTTTCTAACTATTGATTTTTTTTAAATTTCTGTATTTACTTACGGTTCAATTTTTTTTCTTGCCTCCCAGGCCCGATGTGGGTTAGTAACCTGTGCCCGGGTAGGCTAGTCTCCGTGGGGAGAAAAAAAAATCTCTGGTGTATTATTACTGTTGTTCTTAACGAAAGCAACAGTACAGTACAAAGAGTTCTGTGTTAAATAAGATAATCTGCATTTGTGAGTCTTGGTAATGCTCTGTATACTATACTACAGTTTAATTTCTGCTACTTATCCTCAAAATGTGTGAACTATACTCATCTAACTGCTCAAACCCATGTAAATTGTACACCTGTAGTACTTCAAATTGTACAATAATTAGACTCGCCCTTATTGCCATATACTGTAGTTCAAGTTAGTGAGATTTTATGGTATACCCGGTATCAACATTTCATACATATGCATGTAAAATATGAGTACATGCCCATCACTCAAAGAATTTGGGCAACAACCAATGAAAACAGCCAAGATAGAGCCTCCTCACTTTGTACAGCCAATTGTGAAATGATGTTCAGGGTGTCATATACAGTAACATAATGAATAAATTTCTTCATACTCAATGAGACAATTTCCTTTCAAAATCATGAATAAATTCTCAACTAACCAATTTTGGATATATTTTCTTCATACAATCTTGACTGTTTAATCATGTCAGTAAACCAGTCTCAAAATATATCTCAAGACAAAGTTGTTTTATTTTATATGTAAGTACTGGTCCTACTACACCTAAACTAAATGAAGCTTGGCATTAAAACAATAAAAGTACAGTACAAGTTGTCAATGAGTATCAACGTTATATACTGTACTGTATATCTATAAATATATCAGCTTTACCAATATCCAGTAAGGGATCATGAATGTAAAATAACATCTTCCATATCTCTACATAAACTGTAAACAATCCTATGATAACTGGCCTCCGGGACCAAAGATCAAATAACTTTTGTGGACAGCTGATACAAAGAGCCAATCTTTGTGGTCTACTGATAAAAAGAGCCAATACTACCACTTGGTACAAAAAACAGCTATAATGGTCTCCCTGTGAAGTACTAATTAAAAGTTATATCATGTTCACATTCTTCCCAGGTGATTGATAACCTATTTTGAAGGATCCTCATAATAGAATAGCCATCGGTGTTAGTTTCTTTATTCGATAATATAAATATCTATGTATAACAACTTAGAACTGACAATTACCAGAGAGTTCAGTGTGATATAAAAAACAAAGAGTTGGCAGGAATGAAGACTTTTTTTCAGCATGTTTTGGGTGGATACGGATCAATAATCAAAATATGTTTTCTGACCATTTGTTAATTATTTTCTTTTTGTTTATGAGTACAAATCGCCAGGACATACAGCAAAATTATATACCCTGTACTGTACAGTAATGTTGCTCTATTTACCTTAACAAAATTTTAATTACCTGTACAATAAACAATGGTTAATTTTAAAATTACATACGTATCACGAGTGTTCCTGACTAAGCTTGTGGGTTAAGGTGGTGGCACAATGGGCACTTTCCTCCAAACATCATTGGCCGTTTTGCTGGCCGTTGGCCTAAAAGCCCAGCAAGCAGGGTTGGTGCTCTTTTTTTTTAATAAAAAAAAATCATATATTTTTTTATTAAATCGATTGTTTTATTTATATATTTTTGTCATTAGTTTTCTAGTACAGTATACTGAATATATACTGAATACTGTTCATGTCATGTCTGTCCACTGTTCGTTCAGGCTAAGAACCACAGCCCAGATATATTCCTGTTCATGTCCTCTCTGTCCAATGGTGGTCCAGACTCCAGAATGAGTTGCCAGTGTTCCTAAAGATAGCATATTCCAAAGCTTAATATATTACACAGAAGTCATAATAAACTGATATTATTATGACATGACTTTACATCCCTGCACAAAGTTATACAAGAATTTTCTTTTATAAACATACAAATTTCTTTTTTGTTAATTTTTTTATGGAAAAAAATCTGCCAACCCTGCCAGCAAGCAGAAGGATTTCAACTGTTGCTAGAAATGGACAATGGTTTGACAGGGATCTTTGCTGGTCGGATTAGTGTTCTCATTAGCTTTACATAATTTCAAGTAAAAATTGAAATAAATCATGAAACAATAATAATTTAAAATATAACACAAACAGCGACATATTTCTATTTATTCATCACTTTAAAACTTCTTTATATATTAAATCATTATTGTATTAAGGGTATTCTTTGAACAGCCAGCCACCGCAACTTTTAAAAGAAACTTCACGACGCACCCATTGTCTTTACTTTAGCTTTTGCAGACACCTCACTTGCTTCAGCAATTGAAGAACTATAACACAATCCTGCAGGGCCTCAACTACCAGTACACCTAGACCCCGACTTACGACGGGGTTAGGGACCCAAATCCAGGTCGTAAGTCCGACATGGTCGTAAGTCCGACATAGATAAAAAAAAATAATAATAATAATTTTTTTTTTTTTTTAGTAAAAAATCTACAATGAAATACAGTACAGTAAAAGTAATGAATAATGATGAATGGATACAGTACAGTGAAAGTAATAAATAATAAGGAATGGATACAGTGTGACTGAGCACTTAACCTTTAATGTAGTCAGCTGAATGCACATGGGGCCCCCATAATTTTCTAATTATACATGGAAACTACATTAACTGGAAACGTTTCGGTATAGAAAATGCGTGTCATTTAAAAAAAAAAAATTTTTTTTTTATCTATATCTGAGGCGGTCGTAAGTCCCGACGGTCGTAAGTCCACGTAGTCGTAAGTCGGGGTCTAGGTGTATAGTAACGGGATCCATGGCGAACCTCGTCTATATGCAGTGTTGTTGTTTTCGTTGCATAGACGGGCCAAAAAAACATATTTGTTTTGCTGGCCAGATCGTATTTGCCAAACATGTTTGGAGGAATGTGCCCAGTGTGCCACTGCCTTTACTCTCAATATCTAAAACACAGGGGACCCCTAAGCATTAGTGGTTAGGACTAATCCAGTTCGATTAACCCTATTTAAACATTAATTACATAGACTGGAAATGAATCCAGAGCCATGCCTCTGTAAGTGTAGCTCTATACAGGCGGTCCCGAGTTACGACCGTCAAACTTACGATCATTCGCATTTATGAATGAGATCCCAATAGAGTACATACATCGCAAAAATTTTTAATTAAAATCACATTTTTTACATTACAGTACAGCAGTTTCATTACTCCATATTGTTTAACTTCACTTTATTTACAATATTTACATTATTTGTTATGTACAGATCCTCCCCGACTTACGACGGGGTTAGGGACCCAAATCCAGGTAGGAAATCGAAATTGTACAAGTTGAAAATGCTTAAATAATACATAGAAAATCTAAGATGGGCGTCTCTTTTTCTTCTCAGCGCCACAACTCTCAATTTTAAGCTTGCCAGCCATTTTAAAGTGAATTACAAACGAAAATTTTATCTGTGTACTGTACTGACGTTGGGACTCGAAAAGATGTAATTTGACAAAATTTTGGTACGACTGAGGCAGGTCGTAAGTGCGGGTGGTAGTAAGCCAAGTAGGTCGTAAGTCAGTATGGGATATTAGTGTTGGAATTAACACTGTTCAGACTTACTAACAAATCGACTTACAATCAGGGTCCAGAACTTTACACTGTTTTAAGTCAGGGACAGCCTGTATTATCTTTCCTGAGGCCAATACAAGAAGTAAATCTACCAGAATCATTCTCCAAAAGGGTCATGCCCATATATAAGATTTCGATCTTTACCTTGTCCAATTATTTTGTCAAACACCAAGTCAGAGAATGGATAAGGTGAAGACCAGCAAGTAGATAGGATCTTCCTGTCAGTTCACTTGAGGCGCTCAGCATTAGAAGGGGGTGAAGTGCCACCCCAGGCAAAATGCATTTTTTGATGGATATCACTATTTTCAACTTTCCTCTACATGTTGGCGTTGGATGTAACCCTCTAGCTAGAATAAAAATATGATATCCTTCAAAAATAAGCTGTGCGCTCAGTCAATGAAGGTGGCTACATCCCGTTCAGAGTGAGAGGAGCACGAGCCAATGACAGCGCGCCTCCCTCGGACCATACCCCCTGAGGCAGCCAATCACAGCTCCTTGGCCAATCTGCTGCCTCCTTGTAGTTTTGGTATGTTGTATAGCATAAGGAGGTTCAGTGTACTTTCTACTGCTATTTTTGATAACTTTTCGGCTTAACATTGAAGTTTTTCGTGTCCCACGGGTGTGAGAAGTGCTGTGCAGTATCTGCCTGATATTAGAGCAAGACTCGAGTGAGGCCAGACCTCGTGGTGTGGGTTCAGGAGCCCATTATTCCTGAGCGTGTGTTTAGTGAAGACAGTGCTCACGTGGACACCCCAGGAATGCTTGGCGATAGTGATTTAGTATATACTGGGTGACTGCTATGCATCACAAAACCTTTTGGCAGACTGTGTTCCGGTACAGAGTTACGTGACGTGCACTGACGGCAATAATGACGATGAAAGTGAGTCTAATGGTAACACAAACAGTGACACTAATGTATCACAACAAGAACATACAAACTGTGAGGAGGTAGAAGTGGACAGTGACCAGACATGCATTGACTTTGATAGTGATGAAAGTGAGCCTGACCCAGCGAATGCTAGTGAAAGTGAGCACATAACTAGGTCTTATTATGAACCTGAACTGTTACTGGCATCAATACTCAATGATTTAGTTGATGAGTAATCTGTGTGGCGATTTTTAGAGGGGGCAGAAAAAACTTTGATCAGTACGTGATTGAGTATGGTGAGGCCATTGAAGTTATACGCACTCCTCAGGATTTACATAACTTCAAGTTACTACGATCTTCAGGGATAATAAAACGAAGGAACTAAACAAAGTAAGATTGTAATACAGTACTATTATCATAATGCTGTTTTTACCAAAGATTATACAAACTTTCTCCGCTTTTGTATTCGTATGTTAATTACATTGGGGAGGGAAGAGGTTAATGGTGGAGGGGGGGATGAGTGTAGCGAGGTTTCCTTATTATTACACACTATTATACTTAATATTATAAATCTTTGGCTAATAATAGGGACGGAAATATAAATACTGATAAGCAAATGAGTTTTTTATTATTATTTCATTTTGGGGGGGTTTCAGGGGTTTATGGGGGAGTGGTGTGGGACAAGTGCTTTTCTGGTGATCATTAACTTGTTTTACAGTATTAGCCCACAATAATAAGAAAATTTAGCAGAAAAAACGCAATTATTGTTGGTTTGGAGATCAAACAACTGTACATGACGGGTAGTTATTCTCATTCAACTCACGATAAAATAATAAATATTCATAGTACTAACTCCAGTTTTCACAGTTTGCTAGGGGAGGGATTGAGCTGCACGATAAAATAAAATTAACCCTGTAGCTTAAAAACAACAAAGTTATGGTTGTTTGAACTTCGAAAAACTTTAAACGCCTTTTCTCTGCTTTTTAAATTTGGATCTTCACCCCCTTCTAATGCGGAGCGGAGCGCCTCACTTGATCTATCATCAATCTCGAAAGATCAGATTTTGCTGAAGACTAGTTAAACATTGGTCTTAAGTCAAGAAGACATATAGCAGATAAAATGAATCAAGGAAGAATTATTTTCTTGCTGAAAAAAGACAAAACCAATTGGTCTATACAGGTACGTATTTTTCTTCACTAAACCCATGATCAGGCCAACCAACCCATAAAGTTGGAGCTGTAAAACAGTCCTTCAACCCAAGCACATATCCTTCAATTAGAACGGCAAAAATGTGTCTAAAAGATATACTGTACAAAGTTCATGTCTTTCCAATTTCTGTGACATTTGGTGATTCTGTTCTATCTGTTAGTTGGGAATAGAATGTGACTCGATATGAAGTAAAGTATTTTATAATGTGCATATTAAGCTATGCCACACAGTGATCTTTTCATGATGCCAACTTAAACAACCAAGAGAGAGGTGCTAACTGCAATGGAAATTAAAGCAGTGGTGAAGGAAGACAATTCATGCAGCATCAGTGTTAAATGCAGCATCCAACAAAAAGATACACTGAACATAATGCCATGAATCAAGTTGATAGAAAACCTTTTATATAATACAGTTCATAACTGTATTTCTTCATCACAACAACATTTATTATCTTTCTCTAAACATACCCATAAGGAAAGAATGTACAGTACTGTATATAATTTAAATGGGACGAGTCTTATACATTTACTGCTTAATATAACAAAGCAACATATATTCGCTAGTTATTACAATATTGTATACTAATTTCCAATTAAAGGATTTGATTAGCGGTGTATATTTCACATCCCAGTTACAAGACAATATAATTCTCCATAAGGGTCAAACAACTGTAAGAACTTTATTCTATGAAGCCATTTTCAGCTCACAAAGACTACATACCTTTGAGTGAGTAAGGAGTATTCAACTACTGTACATGAAAAACTCACTCATGGTACGTACACTTCATTAGCTCAACATTAATAAAGTCAGGGACATAAGTGAATAACTGAACATAATTTCCTTAGGATTTGGTTGATGAGATAAAAGTTATAATGTATACCATATTTATTTCATATACAGTATTATACATCAGGCATAACAAGGCACTGAAGAGTGATGTGTTGCCTGCACATCTCAACATGATTATAATAAAGGAATAGCAGGCTGTATCCCCAACATCTCATGGACCTGGCTAGTTGGGTAAAAACATTTGATACTGTAACTACAATACAGTAGTTCCTAAATAAAAATTACTTCACAGTTCTCTACTTCATTCAGAAAAGCTGATAACAGGATATGAACCAATCCTTAGGCTGCTGAAGTGTCACTTATACTAAATACCGTATATATAAACAATAGTCTTTGAACAGTACCATACTGTACCGGTACCTTATTCACAGATACTGTATTATGAGTGACATTAATGTGGAGCTTTTTCTTTGCTTTCATTAACAACTGGTGATTACTCATTCATATCCACAGTTCTACCTTATTTATCAACTATTTCCCAGTACCAGCATGCTGAAATAAAACAGAAAACCAAACTTTATAAACAACAAACCCATTCATCTCATTTCACATCATCCAGGCAAGTATGTGAGCTGCAGTGCATCCATTATACCTCTCTCATTCACTCTCTTGACCTCAGGTTACCTGAGTAATGCCATAGTTTTTCAACCTTGTAATAATTAATCTACAGACTAACTATGGTAAATGTTTACAAAACTGTTATCATTAGAAGTTGTTTGTTGATTTTCTTTATTTTTGCTGTACTTATTGTTTTGACGATTTTAAGTATATTAAAAGAAATGACAACTTTCTATTATATTTTTCTTTATTTTTTAGAATTTCTTTCCATTATTCTATCCTAGATCTTAAATGCTTGTTAGTGGGCAGGGCATGAAAGATGAGGGAAATTAAGGGGTAAAAACACGGCAAACACTGATGTTATTGCATTAAAATTACATCTCTAGGTGTATTTCAAATGCCACAATCATTTTCTTACCTTAAGTCACCTAATTCCCTACCGCCGCCATTCCTTCCTCTCCAATTGTATAAATTGTTCCATTATTCCTGATCCTTTTAATAAAATAATTACGCATCTTTATTAAGTTTAGAATTATGTATACACCACTTTATTCTTCTTTTGTTTATTTATTAAAAGCATTTTCTATTCTCTTTACATCATCTACAGTCTGTACATCACATGACGATTACGTGTTAGAGCATCTTGCTAACATCATGTTTGACCTGCATTGTTGTGATTATTCTTAATGCGAATTATCAGGCCTAGTTCTTGATGATTCTCGTTTGTTAGCTCTTATTTGTGACCATGGTTTAATTAACTCAATACAGTATTAAGGTAAGTTGTTAACGATTTTCTATTAGCATTATATTAAACACAGAAATGGAAATGACAATGCATAGAACCTAATAGATCCTGACCTAACAAACCCTGGGTTGTTAGGTCAGGTTCTACACATTGTCATTTCCATTTCTGTGTTTAATACCATGCCAATAGTGTGTACAAAAAAATTTAAACCAAATCGCACATTTCCTTTGGGTGATAACAGTTTCGTAAACCTTAACCCTAAAAATTCATCAGCAAAACTTTTCACTCCCTACCTCTCTATGGATTTCTAAAGAAAATTGATTTTCTTGTTTGACAGAGACTCCTGATGGAAAGATCTGTCAGCTTGTGCCCCTGTTAGTGTTAGAAGGGCTCTAAAACTAATGAACACCAAGCAATAACAACGGAAAAACTTACTTGAGGCAATGCAAAATTGATACAGTGTGACGCTGTCCTTGAGGGTTTGGAAGTTGCTGTGAGAGATGCACAACTTGAGTGCCAGACCTCAGAGCACTTGTGCAAAGTCTCCGAGCACTACCTCCACGATGCTTGAGATGGGGCATAGTGGGGCATGTGGTGGAGCCACCTTGTCTTGCTGCAGGTGGGGGCAGAGAGCCACTCATATACCCATATGTAGAGGACTGTAGTCGTGTCTTGACTACCTCCAGAGGGCATGTGACCACTGCACCCATTGTTCCACCACACCTATCACCAAAAACGTGTGATAAACTGCATTAGTGGTATAATTGTAGCAACGAATAACTGAACACGGATGTGGATTTGAAGTTAAGCTACTAGAGGGAAATGTAAACATAACATTCACATAATAAACTGTAGATCAATTTATAGTACTACATTCATATCAATTACCCTTTTTTCATGTTTACTTCTGGACACTTGATGCACATTACTGTTAGTTAGTATTGTTATGGTAAAATGTGCAATCAGGTACAGGTAAATTCATCAATTTAGGTCATTTCAATTAAAAATTTCTAAATAAATTGGATATATGTACAAATTGATTTTGCACCAAACATATCCTTCACTTACAGAGTTAAAAATTTTTTAGCTTCTCTCACTACTCTTCTTGCCAAAGATGAATAAGGGGTGTCGCCACTTTATTCCTTGTTATTTTGTGAAAGGACGTTTTACTGTTACACTCATCTTAATGCACAAAATGAAAATCAAGTGGAGGAGAAAGGAAAATACTAGTATGAACCAATGAGACTACTGTAATATTTCTAGTATTGCATCTTGACAAAGGCAGTGAGGGTCAACCATAAATGAAAGCAGACGACAAGAATCAACAAAGCCTAATTAACGAATCTTAGGTTACACTGGTTAGTTCATGTTGTCTGCTGTCATTTTGGGTGTAGGTCAGCGCCTCCCCAAAGAAGCATTCTTTACAAGACCGTAATATTGTAAGGCAAGGTACACTATGACTTACAATAACAAATAAATTGCAAAAAAAAAGGGGGGAGCAACAATTAGAATCATATATGTAATTTAATGTAAGTTAAACTCTATTTACAACACAGTGGTTATATAAACAATGCTAAGAGTGGTACCTACACCTATTTAAAAATGATAATCAGGATTGGTTGATTTATTTTCATGTATCATTGATGATTTTAGCCTAAAGCCACAACTACTCAGCTTTAGTAACAAGACTGCCACACTTTCTATACAAAATTTCACCACATTTTCATGAATTTAAAAAAGTTTTTCCTTGCTCTGTTTCAGTGTTTGTAAATTAATTCACTACCGTAGTTTAAACCAATGTGCGATATTTGTGATCATGTGAAAAAATATTAAAATCATTAAATATGGTACCTATACTACTGTATTACCTAATTAGTTTCAATGGTTCAAACCTTTCTCATCCACAGGTTTTCATTCAACACTAAAACAAACATTGCTACTACGATCCCATCATAACTTAACATACATTACAGTGGCGACCCACTCCTTGTTTTATATCATATACGTACTGTATATTCAAACCCTCTAAAGCAAGTGATTACAGACATACTACAACTACACTTTTGAAAATGTGTTACAATTATGTACATTAAGAAACATAAATCACCTTATATGTTTGTATATATATTTGTATCATATCTTGTACGGTGTTAATTTTGGAGTATGTATAACACACATGAAGTAACATGTTCCTATCCACAGGTTTCATTGGTACAGTTGGCACCACATAAGATTTTAGTTGCGTCACAAATATGATCCTAATATTTAAATTCTAAATTTGTCGTGATATTTTACTGAATCAGCTAAATTCCAGACGTCGATTTTCGTATGTAGCATTACACAACACCCAGGCCCCACACACACTTGCTGGGAGACACTACCGGCCGGGTAACACTCACAGCTTGGCTTCTAGACCTGTTTTTCACCTGCACGTTCATATAGGTTGCTATTCGATAATTATACCATCTCGACAGTAATTGAGTATCTAACTGAGGTAAATACAACAAGTCTTAGGGTTCAAAAGCTTATGAATGTCAGTAGTATTCATTTAAACGTTTTACGCCGTAAACATGCTGGTCAGAGAAAAAAAAAAGTAACCAAGGCCGTCTGTGTCCCCCAAGAGAAATTCTTATGTAGGTCCACTATTAACAAATTTTATGTACATGGATGCAGAAAAAATAACTCACCCGCCGGCAAATAGATGGATTAATGTATCCTTATTAAGACTCATTTTGAGATAAAATTATTCGTAATACGCAGCGAACACCTCTTCTGTGCACTGGTTCAGACATTACTGATCGTCTGCTACCAAGCGATGTTTTGAGTTGGTTTCCATCACGTGATCACTTGGCGCTTATTGGCCAGCAGCAGCAGCCAGAAGGTTGTGATTGGTCGCCGTGCTGGGTTCGGTCCAAGTGTACATGTGATATTGTTTACATCTTCCTTGCAACCTCGACGTAACAAACTTGAACTTAATCTTGATGAAGAAAATGAATGTAGATGATAGTAAGTCTGAAAATCGAAATACTTATGAATAACACGCAGAAGTTGTCGGAAGGCCAGGAGCTCATATTAATACAAGTCCACCTGATAGATGCCAAGAACCGCTATATGTCTACACAAGAGCTATTTACCCCATGACCCGTTGTGTTGTGGCCTGTGGGAGAACTCGATTCTCGGGGAGTGTTTAGAAGGTGCTAGTGGTCCAGAAGGTGCAGTACGATCTCTACTGGGCTCGATGCTAAATGTTGGTTGGTCTGACGAGAATAAATGAAAGACTAGGGTTAAAAGCTATTCTTGGTATATACAGTAAATAAAACAATATTGTATGTATTTCGGGAGCAGTGACAAGTTCTGCTGCACTTGGTACACGTTACTGCAAGTTACGTAACGCTTAACCCACCATGATTATATTATCGGGTTAGCTAGCATCTGCTACTATAAACAGCAGAGGTCCTCCTTGCCGGCAGGATATTCATCTTTTCCTTGTACATACTGTAAGTATGGTACAAAACGATAATCCAAATATATTTTTTTTGTCATATGAACAATCCCCCAATGGTGCCAAGTGAAGAATCTCCCCCCACCCTTTATTTCAGTGATGCATTGTTTTCCTTTACTTTTTGTTACTGAAGTTTTTTATTTAATATATTAGTTAAATCAGGATGAGAAAATGCATCATATGCAGAATAGTTTATTAAACTTGTCATCACATAGGGTACTGAAGAGAAATATGAGTACATACTGTAGATTCTCTTAAGCATTATTATTATAAAATCGGTCGCGCCACATAAATTCCTGCAGGTATGAATAAAGAACCTAACCTAACCTACTGGTGAGGTCTTGGCCACCTGTTGTGTCCCCAGTGATCATGCTGCCTGACTAGCGCAAGATATAGTTGCAATAAGACCTCTGCATTCTTGTTACTTACACTTTTAGATATAAAACTCAATACTCTGTTTGCCTTATTTCGAACATTAACGCACTGTTTTCTAGGCCGTAGGTCCGGGCTTACAAGTACCCCTAGGACTAGGTCTCTTTCACAAGTCGACTTCTCTAGGTTGATGTTGTTAAGGCTGTATACATTATAAGTATTTGTTCTTCCAATATTAAGTACGCTGCGCTTGCTGGTGTTGAATTTCATTTGCTGCGCTTGCTGGTGTTGAATTTCATTTGCCATTTTTCAGACCACCCCTGCAGTTTATTTAGATTATGATCTTTTTTTTTTTACGAAAATCTTAATTGTGGTGTACATATAAACATACACGTAGAAAAATATTATATAAATTGTAGAAGAATAGCATAATTATGAACCTAACAAAACCTAAACTAATTTAGTGAAGTGAGTTTGTTTATGGTAATGAATGAAACCCCCCCCAAAAAAATTATCCATATAATAATAATCCCTGCGTTACGGTTTATTACCAAGAAGCTGAAAATATACCCTAATATACAAGTAACATAAGTGCAAATAAGTCCTAGATGGGGAAAAGCTCAAACTACACACACATAGTGACACAGTAGGATTACTGGGAGTTTCATATGTTAATTTATAAATATCCTCCCATCGCTCTCACATCTGGGGTGGCTCTTCTTCTGTCCAACTATTAGATAGGGTAGAATCAAAGGCATTTCGTCTTTTTAACTCTCCTCCTTTAGTCGACAATCTCTCTTCCCTTTCTCTTTGCCGCAATGTTGCTTCACTCTCTCTCTTTTGTAGGTACTTTAACAGGCAATGTTCGGTGGATTTGGCATCCTGTGTACCGCCGGCAAGGCCATGGGCTCGTAACACACGTCTTGCCCGCGGTGCCCACCATTTCTCTGTGGATGTCGGTCACAGGAGAATAACCGGTTATAGTACCTCCTTCTTTCCTCACACAGCCAAACTGTGGAATGTTCTGCCTTCTGTGTTTTCATACTTATACAATCTGTCTCGCTTTAAAAAGCTGGTTTTCCGGCATCTTCGTGGTGTAGATTAACTTAGTATAACCTTTTTCTTTTCTAGTTTCAATTTTTGTTTTTTTTTTACCCCCCCCCCAGGCCCTTTGTGGATCGTTTGACCTGTGCCCGGGTGGGCTAATTCCCGTAAAAAAAAAAAATCATTTCACCGAACCCGAAACTCCAGGATAAGTTAACATATTTGTCACAAATCTGTGAAAATTTTGCTTCCATCATCATATCGCGTCTCAGATTGCTTGATGAGTTTTTTAATGGCGCCGGATTTTAGTTTGGCAATATATAGCCTGTCGGTTATACTGTATGTTTTACATTCTGTAATAGAAAGGATGCTGTAGGGGCTCTAGCACTCAGGATGGAAGGAAACTCTAATGTGGTTTTCTTATATAATATAAGTTATATGATAGACAGTCTGGTGCTGGAGGTGCCGTGTGGTGAGGAGCTGCTCAGTAGAGATGAGTAGCGTGTTGAAGGAGGTAGATGTGCAGGAGCTTCGTTAGAGAAGATGTTGCCTGTTGCTGGCCTCCTGGTTGAATGAATGCTGACAGCGTGGAGCTTGCTGGAGGAGGTGTTGCTTGTTTTTGAGAAAGCTGGTTGGTTCAGTGGACAATATATCAGAATGCCAATGTCGGTTTAACCGGTCTCTAGTTTCGCTGCTAGGTTGTATCTGGTTGGTTGCTTAGCAGGTGGTGGCTGTGGCTAATAGGCAGTTGTAAGACGATGCTTTGTGCATATTGCATCATTTTAAATGCTCAATAATACAAGATCCCCTTCACTATCTTATATATAATTCGCTGTGACGTATATGCAAAGGGCATTCTGGTTTTAAAAAAACGTCAGAGGTATCTTAAATTACATATACTATTTTTTTTTACCTGGTTAACAAAATAGTGCATCATATGGGTCACCGTTTGAACAATAAGACTGGCAAACCAATACTTGCACTATATACGTACCAGTATACCAAAATATTATATTAAAAGGATATTATATATTAATTATAGTTAGACTTCGGGTTATAAGTAAAAAAGAAACATTATTAAGCACAGTATATAAGTAAGCGTGTCACCTAGTGGCCTTGATATTTTACATGTATGTACTGTACGTACACTCACTACAAAAATTATCAGCAAATATTTTTGATAGACAATATAACGCAATGAACGAAGAATTTTGACAACCCGACAGAGACAACAGTCGTCAGTGTTCATTTGAAATTTATCGGACCACCTTGCAAATACTTTCTGTAACAAGTGTACATTACTCGACTGACTGGCGAGACTAAAAAAACTTGCAGCCAAAGGGCTCCATGCTTAAATTTTCAAAATACTTAAATAAAACCAACCATTTAGTATATCAAACCAAAATCCGTCAAGGAATAGTTTGAATCATGCTTTTTGGTATACTTGTCAATGCTCAATAACTATTCGTTCATGTAAATTCATCTTCCGATTATAATATATAAACCACAACTAGAACAAAATATCAACTAATACACATCATAGACGACAATAAGAGTGGTATTAAAAACACTCGTGGGATGTTAGTGAATATGAATATACCAACATCGAATCACTTTTAAGATTCCCTTCTACACCTTATTTAACCAAAAGATTGGTCACCCTAACGCTATTTGAGGGGGGGGGGGGTGAGGTTAAGTTAAGTTAGGTTAGGCTAGGTTAATTTTTAGGTGAGAATCTTCAGGCGATTCAATACATATATAGGCTACATATGGTTGACCTAAACATTTTCAACGACAGCAGACTTTCAATTACAAGATTAACTGAAAATACAGTACTTTAAAAAAGGAATTGATTCATGAAAAATTATCCTAGGAGATTTTATAGATAAAGATCAGGATACAAACAAAAAAATGATGAGGTCATGAAAGATCATGAACTTAGACAACTACTGAAGTGATGAATTATTTATCTTGCTTTCTGCATATTGGGCCCTTTTGGGGTAAGTGAGGAAGTCTTTGCCATTTAATTCACCAGTGGTAAGACTTGTTTTGTAATCCTTATATCCACTGACTCATAAACCCGCAGGAGGTAGTAGAAAATATTAACTGACAGTCTGAGAAATGATCCCAGTTCTCCACGAGTAGTCTTTATTGCCTTGTTTGTACTAGGTTATGTGTCTTCTCTAAATGTAAAGCGGTGGAACCTCTTACACAAAAATTAGTTTATGTAACATAATATAACATAAATATTAAACCCTTTTGTTTCTTAAATTCAGCGTAAAATGTATATGGCGTTATTTAAAAATATAACTGGATCATAATTTTTACTGATGTGAAGTTAAGTTTCAAAAAGTGATCTTCCTTGTTACCTACTGTTTCATAAATATTATATTAATATTTTCTCAGGTCGGGTTAGGTCTATAATCACCGGGCCGTAATTGCATGCAAGCTCTGTTCACCGTCCTCCACATCCTGGTATTCGCCACGCACTACGCAGTTGACGAGCATTTCCGTTAGGCATGAGATGCGTGTGACCTTCCTCCTCGACATATTGAGTGTTTTACGATTTTTACTTATTTTTTAAGAAATGGAGAATTCATAAAATTTAGTTAATATTGGGAAGGAGTGCACGAAACACTATTAGAATGTATCCACAGCAAAACCATCAACAACAAGGTACTATAATAATAATAATAATAATAATAATAATAATAATAATAATAATAATAATAATAATAATAATAATACCCTACAGTCCTTACATTTTTTACGTTTTTTTTATCGACTTCCTGATACTGACGTTCAACCGCAAATTTAACTTGACAGGCTCAGTGCATGATGTCTGTCTCAATCTGTTAAATATCACAGTTACTGTTTTAATATAAAGAGA